TCTTTATGAAAGCAGCCACATCTTTTACCCACAGAGTGGCTGGTGGGTTTGAACCACCGACCTCTCAGCAGCTGAGCGTTTAATCATTGTGCCACCAGGGCTCCTTATGATTTAACAACTTGATACTGTTTTCCTTTTAATAGTTTTAGTAAGAGTAATTATTTATACATACTGAAAAAACAAAAGAAAAACAATCGTCATTTTCTTATAATCACTTACGTTCTTCGTGGCCTTAATCTCTGATCACTATAGGGAATCAGTGCCACAAGCTGGTTTTCTTGTCCTAAAAGAAATTGATTTAGAAATTTATTAACATGATTAATTAAAATATAGTGGGGCTCTGCATCACAGCCTGGTTTGCAAAGATCAGAATACCATCTGGCTCTCATCTCATTCCTCTAGGAAAGTGCTCTAGAAAGCTTCAAAAATTACTCAGTAGTTTAGTTCCACAGCAAACACTGTGTTTTTTCATATCTATAAGTCTGTTGTTGTTAGACGCTGTCAAGTCACTTCTAACTCATAGCAACCCCACGTACAACAGAACGAAACACTGCCCGGTCCTGTGTCATCCTCACAATTGTTACACTTGAGTCCACTGTTGCAGCCACTATGTCAATCCATCTCATTGAGGGTCTTCCTCTTTATCGCTGACCCTCTACTTTACCAAGCGTGATGTCCTTCTCCAGGGACTGATCCCTCCTGATAACACATCCACATGTCTAGCTGGTTAAAAATATTATAAAGAATGAGTACTCCATTACTTTCTTCCACTGAAGTAAAGATCTAAAAAATCCCTGGTTTTAGAAGATCTGAATTTGCCAGGCCCTCCTTCCCCTCCACTGTTATCCACTGAAACTCTGATTTGGTTATCTAGATGAGAAAAGAAAAGAAACACATCCTGAATGTCCTCAAACCTATACCTGCAGAGGTTCTACACTGTCCCACTTGAAAACCAAAACTGACACATACTGAGTCTCAAATTCCAAGAGCCCTACATGAGCCTCCGAGGACTCTTTCAGGTCAAACCCCTACATAGTAAGTCACTTCAAAATCCATTAACTTTTTCTTGGGTTGACTTATAGTCGTATAATACCTTTAAATGTCCATTTTCCAATCTTACCAGTAGGCTCTTCACATCAACCATTAAAGCAACAGCACTTGTGCGCTAGATCTCACCCCCTCTCACCTATTCAAGGTCACTGCTCCAATAATTCCCTCCCTCTCCTCTATCAATGTTTTCTCTATGGATCATTCTCAATCATTCAAACATCTATTATTCCTCTCATCTTAAAAAATCCCTCTCCTACCTCATAGCCCCCTCCAGCTTACCACTTCTTCCCTCTATACAGCAGAACTCCTCAAAAGAGCTATTTTACCTATATGTAATCTCTCTCCTCCTACGTGCTCTTGATCCTGCTCTATACATGCTTCTGTCTGCTCCCATTAAACTACCAAAAGTGCTCTTGTAAAGGTCTCCTAAAGCAAAAAACCCATTGCAAGAGATTCGATTCTGACTCATAGCAACCCTACAGGACAGAG